GCTTTCGCCACCATGGCTTCCCGTGGGGTCGTTGGCGTCATCGTCCTCTCTGCAGTGCCCCTTTTGTGTCTGGAACTCCGACGTGGGATCCCGGAACTGGGTAAGCACGAGTCCCGTGGCGCTCCGCCGGGCCGTGTTCACGAGTGCTGCGGCCACCGCCGACTCCCGCCCTCCTGTTCGCGCGCGGCCGGACTACAGCTCCCGGCCTGCCCCGCGCCGCCGGCCCTGCCTTCTCGGGCCTCTTGGACTACATTTCCCAGAACACACCACGCCCGCTCGCTTCCGGCGCCTGCCGCGCCTCCGGACGGCGGGTCTGCAGGTGCGCGCTGGCGGCCCCGCTGGCCGACCAGGGTCTAGCCACCGACCCAGGAGTCCCAGCCACGGGCGGAAGGGACCGCCGCGTGGCCATCCCCCGGGGATTTCTCGCTGTCGCTCCGGCGAACGTTCGCGCCCTGTGGCAGAAAGTTCTCAAAAAATAGAACCCGATGCCGTTGTGCAGCCCAACTTCCTGCTCCGCTCTAGTCAGAGGACCTTTTAATACGTTATTTCTTGTTAGTGTCAAGGAAAGTTTTTAAAATTTTAATTTTATTTATTTTTTCCTTTCCAAGGTATTAAAGATCTCATTTTGCTGTGTGGCCGGATTTTCTTAATGCTTGCCCTTCTTACTTTAATTATTTCTGTAACTTCCTCGTGGCTTACCTCATTTACATCTTCCCAAGTTTATCTGCAAGGTGAGTTTATTATACGCGCTTCGGTTTATCCTTTGCTCCTCAGAGTTCTCTCCTTTTTCCCATTCCGGAGTAGTCAGTACAGCTCTAAGTCGTGATTATTTTGAGTGGACTATCGCTCCTAACTTTTTATGAGAACTCGATATTTTCCTTACCTGTGCTTTTGGAACTGGCGTTTAAACAGTGTTACACACTGTCATAACTTTTATGTTTGTGCCACCAAACTGCTGTGGATGCCTGTGGCACCCAGAGTGTCCTACAGTGTAAATATATCTGGCCGGCAGGTGGCAGGTGGTGGAGGGCGTGACCCCTCCACCTAGTGTTTGCTTTCTCCTTTCTCTCTCTCTCTCTGCTGACCACAAATTCCCTGTAGCAAATTAAAATAATAATAATGATAAATTAAAATAAATAAATCTTTTAAAAACTGAATGTAGGGACCAGCAGTTAGTGTAGTGGCTCCCAGGTAGTCGACCGCAGTTCGAATCCTGGACCCGGTGGCTTAAACTCACGCCAGGTGCATGTGCTTACGCGCCCAAGATCCCAAGAGGAGAATGGAGGAGAAGGGATTGCTGAGTGGCCCTCCCCTGGGGGCTGATTTCTCACTTTCTGTCTCTTTCTCTGTCTTTCTGGCGAGTGCATGCGCCCTATAGCAAAAACCTCTCCAAAATAAAGTAAATGTATATGGGACGAGCAGATGGCGTAATGGCTATGTCGCTGAACTCCCATGTAGTCGAGTCCCGGACCAGGTGGCTTAAACTCATGCCAGGCACGTGTACGTGAGTGCCCAAGATCCTGAGAGGAGAATGTAGGAGAAGGGGTTGTGGCATGGCCATCCCCCCAGGGGGGTGATTTCTCGCTTTCTGTCTCTCTGGAAAGTGCAGGCATGCACCCTATAGCAAAAACCTCTCCAAAAAAAAAAAAAAGATTGCGCCACATGCGTAAGTGTATTATACGAGAACAAAGGGCCTTCAGGCCACATGAGCTCCTGAGGTGCATTACAGGCTCGGCTACCTCTCGCCCTCTCTCCGGGGCAGTGGCGGGGCGCCTTCCCACTGTCCTGGGCCTTCCTCACTGTGGTCTGGAGCTGCTGAGGCCCCCTTGGCATCCCACAGAAGGAAATACTCCAGAATATTCTGGACACCTGTTTAATAGGTATAATGCTAATACGTGTCAGATTTTCCTCAGAGCAGAGCTGTTAAAGCACTTACGAATTTTCATTCGACTACCTGCATCTATCTCATTCAAATTACTTGAAGAGATGCTGTTTTTTGAAGGTTGTTTGTCTTTCCCAAAATGTTAATGCTTACAGACTTTTCAAGAAAAATAGCATTCCACTTATTGACATTTGGGAATTAAAAAGCACTTTTATGTTTTGACATCGTAGAAGATGAAGAAAAAAATGACAAGAGGCGAAAACTTGTGAGAATAAAGCAACAAGAAGCGCAGCTAGAGAAGGTAAGGTGTGGCCTCCACTGCCGTCCGGCCGCTTACGGTGAGGGTGTGCTTCCCATGCCTGGGCTGGGTTTGTGTTGTTGGTGGTCTAATAATTACTTTATTTAACTTTTTATTTTTTAAAATTTTTTGTTCGTTTTGCTTTTTTTTGAGAGGTTTTTGCTATATGGTGCATGGGCTCACCAGGAAGAGAGACAGAGACAGACAGAGAGACAGAAAGCGAAAAATCACCCCCCCAGGGCGGATGGTCACACCGCAATTTCTTCTCCATTCTCCTCTCAGGATCTTGGGCACACATGCACATGCGCCCGACGTGAGTTTAAGCAACCTGGTATGGGACTTGAACCACAGTCGACTACATGAGAGTCCAGTGACATAGCCATTACGCCAACTGCTGGTCCCTTATTTATTTAATTTTGACCAGAGAGGGATAGAGCGAGAGAGAGAGGGAAAATGAGGAAGCAAGCCACCAGGTCCCGGATTCGGGACTTGAACTGCTATCGGCCATGTAGCCGTCCAGTCCAGTCCTTAGCCACCAGGCCACCTGCAGTGCGCCCGCCCCCCCACTCCTGCCCTGTGCTAGGATTTTTTTAGATGACTGTTTTTGAGGTTAAACTCATACAACATGAAGCTGGCCGACTGGCATCATGCAGCTGCCACCTAGTGGCCCTGTCTGTGTCACCACCCTCCAACACTCCTCTGTGCCCCTGCTCCCTGCCCACCGGCTGCACTGTGTGTCTCCTGGCTGGGCCCTGCAGACCTGTGGTGTCCAACTGCTCGCCCAGCGAACATCCCAGCGAACGTTTGCAGGGTTCACGCGTGCTGGGCGTCACCGGTCCTTCAGCCAAGACACTTGAGTTCTTTGGCCTCTGGCTTTCATGAGCAGAGCTGCTGTCAGGTCTCACACCGGTCTGTATTCAAATAAATAAATACTTCAATAACGCTGGGTGTATACGCAGGAATGGAATGGCCAGGTCATGGGGTAATTTTGTATTTCACTTTCAAGGACACAGCAAGCTTGTCCGTGCCAGCTGCACCGCTTCACGTCACCACCAGCAGTTGCTGAGGGTCCCCAATCTGTCCCGCCCTCCCCCTCACCGCGTCCCCATCTGTGCCTGCCCTCCCACTTCTTACTGCCACCCCGCCGCCTTCAGATGCCTGCTGCCATGCCCGGGAAGTGGCATTTAACGTGGTGCCTGCGGTTCCCTAGTGACTAGTGACCTTGAGCATCTTCACATGTGCTTATGGATGTTTCTGTATCTTCTTTGAAAAAATGTTTAATTCCTTTGCCCTTTCTAAAATTAAGTTGTCCCTTTTTTGGCTAGTGGGCACATGCACTTGGGGAGCAGGCACCCTCTAGGCGTGGTCACTCCAGCCCCTTCCCTTCACCCCCGTCGCACAGCTGGGGCCCCTCTCGCCCTCTCTCCGGGGCAGTGGCGGGGCGCCTTCCCACTGTCCTGGGCCTTCCTCACTGTGGTCTGGAGCTGCTGAGGCCCCCTTGGCATCCCACAGAAGGAAATACTCCAGAATATTCTGGACACCTGTTTAATAGGTATAATGCTAATACGTGTCAGATTTTCCTCAGAGCAGAGCTGTTAAAGCACTTACGAATTTTCATTCGACTACCTGCATCTATCTCATTCAAATTACTTGAAGAGATGCTGTTTTTTGAAGGTTGTTTGTCTTTCCCAAAATGTTAATGCTTACAGACTTTTCAAGAAAAATAGCATTCCACTTATTGACATTTGGGAATTAAAAAGCACTTTTATGTTTTGACATCGTAGAAGATGAAGAAAAAAATGACAAGAGGCGAAAACTTGTGAGAATAAAGCAACAAGAAGCGCAGCTAGAGAAGGTAAGGTGTGGCCTCCACTGCCGTCCGGCCGCTTACGGTGAGGGTGTGCTTCCCATGCCTGGGCTGGGTTTGTGTTGTTGGTGGTCTAATAATTACTTTATTTAACTTTTTATTTTTTAAAATTTTTTGTTCGTTTTGCTTTTTTTTGAGAGGTTTTTGCTATATGGTGCATGGGCTCACCAGGAAGAGAGACAGAGACAGACAGAGAGACAGAAAGCGAAAAATCACCCCCCCAGGGCGGATGGTCACACCGCAATTTCTTCTCCATTCTCCTCTCAGGATCTTGGGCACACATGCACATGCGCCCGACGTGAGTTTAAGCAACCTGGTATGGGACTTGAACCACAGTCGACTACATGAGAGTCCAGTGACATAGCCATTACGCCAACTGCTGGTCCCTTATTTATTTAATTTTGACCAGAGAGGGATAGAGCGAGAGAGAGAGGGAAAATGAGGAAGCAAGCCACCAGGTCCCGGATTCGGGACTTGAACTGCTATCGGCCATGTAGCCGTCCAGTCCAGTCCTTAGCCACCAGGCCACCTGCAGTGCGCCCGCCCCCCCACTCCTGCCCTGTGCTAGGATTTTTTTAGATGACTGTTTTTGAGGTTAAACTCATACAACATGAAGCTGGCCGACTGGCATCATGCAGCTGCCACCTAGTGGCCCTGTCTGTGTCACCACCCTCCAACACTCCTCTGTGCCCCTGCTCCCTGCCCACCGGCTGCACTGTGTGTCTCCTGGCTGGGCCCTGCAGACCTGTGGTGTCCAACTGCTCGCCCAGCGAACATCCCAGCGAACGTTTGCAGGGTTCACGCGTGCTGGGCGTCACCGGTCCTTCAGCCAAGACACTTGAGTTCTTTGGCCTCTGGCTTTCATGAGCAGAGCTGCTGTCAGGTCTCACACCGGTCTGTATTCAAATAAATAAATACTTCAATAACGCTGGGTGTATACGCAGGAATGGAATGGCCAGGTCATGGGGTAATTTTGTATTTCACTTTCAAGGACACAGCAAGCTTGTCCGTGCCAGCTGCACCGCTTCACGTCACCACCAGCAGTTGCTGAGGGTCCCCAATCTGTCCCGCCCTCCCCCTCACCGCGTCCCCATCTGTGCCTGCCCTCCCACTTCTTACTGCCACCCCGCCGCCTTCAGATGCCTGCTGCCATGCCCGGGAAGTGGCATTTAACGTGGTGCCTGCGGTTCCCTAGTGACTAGTGACCTTGAGCATCTTCACATGTGCTTATGGATGTTTCTGTATCTTCTTTGAAAAAATGTTTAATTCCTTTGCCCTTTCTAAAATTAAGTTGTCCCTTTTTTGGCTAGTGGGCACATGCACTTGGGGAGCAGGCACCCTCTAGGCGTGGTCACTCCAGCCCCTTCCCTTCACCCCCGTCGCACAGCTGGGGCACATGCTCATAGGCCCAGTCTTTCCTAGTCTGCCACGTCAGAGAGTCTACTGCAGTCGGCCACGTGGGGTCCAGTTCCCCTAGCCGGTAGGCCACAGGCCCAGCCCTGGAAGGTTTTTCTTAAAACCTCTCTTAGAAATAGTTTAACTTTGGGAGCAGCAGTTGGCAAAATGGTTATGTCACTAGACTCCCCATGTATGCGCCCGACGTGAGTTTAAGCAACCTGGTATGGGACTTGAACCACAGTCGACTACATGAGAGTCCAGTGACATAGCCATTACGCCAACTGCTGGTCCCTTATTTATTTAATTTTGACCAGAGAGGGATAGAGCGAGAGAGAGAGGGAAAATGAGGAAGCAAGCCACCAGGTCCCGGATTCGGGACTTGAACTGCTATCGGCCATGTAGCCGTCCAGTCCAGTCCTTAGCCACCAGGCCACCTGCAGTGCGCCCGCCCCCCCACTCCTGCCCTGTGCTAGGATTTTTTTAGATGACTGTTTTTGAGGTTAAACTCATACAACATGAAGCTGGCCGACTGGCATCATGCAGCTGCCACCTAGTGGCCCTGTCTGTGTCACCACCCTCCAACACTCCTCTGTGCCCCTGCTCCCTGCCCACCGGCTGCACTGTGTGTCTCCTGGCTGGGCCCTGCAGACCTGTGGTGTCCAACTGCTCGCCCAGCGAACATCCCAGCGAACGTTTGCAGGGTTCACGCGTGCTGGGCGTCACCGGTCCTTCAGCCAAGACACTTGAGTTCTTTGGCCTCTGGCTTTCATGAGCAGAGCTGCTGTCAGGTCTCACACCGGTCTGTATTCAAATAAATAAATACTTCAATAACGCTGGGTGTATACGCAGGAATGGAATGGCCAGGTCATGGGGTAATTTTGTATTTCACTTTCAAGGACACAGCAAGCTTGTCCGTGCCAGCTGCACCGCTTCACGTCACCACCAGCAGTTGCTGAGGGTCCCCAATCTGTCCCGCCCTCCCCCTCACCGCGTCCCCATCTGTGCCTGCCCTCCCACTTCTTACTGCCACCCCGCCGCCTTCAGATGCCTGCTGCCATGCCCGGGAAGTGGCATTTAACGTGGTGCCTGCGGTTCCCTAGTGACTAGTGACCTTGAGCATCTTCACATGTGCTTATGGATGTTTCTGTATCTTCTTTGAAAAAATGTTTAATTCCTTTGCCCTTTCTAAAATTAAGTTGTCCCTTTTTTGGCTAGTGGGCACATGCACTTGGGGAGCAGGCACCCTCTAGGCGTGGTCACTCCAGCCCCTTCCCTTCACCCCCGTCGCACAGCTGGGGCACATGCTCATAGGCCCAGTCTTTCCTAGTCTGCCACGTCAGAGAGTCTACTGCAGTCGGCCACGTGGGGTCCAGTTCCCCTAGCCGGTAGGCCACAGGCCCAGCCCTGGAAGGTTTTTCTTAAAACCTCTCTTAGAAATAGTTTAACTTTGGGAGCAGCAGTTGGCAAAATGGTTATGTCACTAGACTCCCCATGTGGCCGACCGTGGTTCGAGTCTTGGACCCGACGACTTAAAATGCATGCCAGGCGCATGTGCATGCATGCCCAAGATCCTGAGAGGTGAATGGAGAAGAGATTGTGGCGTGGCCATCACCCCTAGGGGGTGATTTCTCGCTTCTGTCTCTGTGTCTGTCTCTCTCCAGCAAGCCAATCTCCCTACAGTAAAAATCTCTACAGAAAGAAGTAGTAGTTCAGCTTCTCATGTTTAGTGTTATTTCCTGTGGAAGTAACTATTCACTTCGAAGACCTGCAGGCTAACCCTAACTGTAATTCCATCTCCACGTGCCAATCGCATGCCGGCCCTGGCCAGGCCTGAGCACAGGGCCTTCCCGTGGGGCTGCGTCATGCAGGCCTGCTGCTCCTTGCCACCGTGGCTGGGCACGTGTAGAGACCGTCTGTGTGTTCTCTTTGGCCGAAAGAAAACTAGCCTGCCAGGGTCAGAGAGAGCACCTGTGTGTGAGGGCCGTCTGCACGCCAGCCTGTGGTGCGAGTCTCACTCCACCTTGGAGAGAGGTCACTTTCTGAAGATTCGTGTGGTTTTTATGAAATATGCCATTTTTATTCTTTGTTTTTAGAGAGAGAGATTTGCTATAGGGTGTGTGTGCTCATCAGGTTCAGGAAGAGAGAAAGTGAGAGATCACTCCCCAAGGAGGAGGGCCACCCCGCCGTCCCTTGTCCTCCATTTTTCTTGGGATTTTGGGCACATGTGCACACACACACACACCATGAGTTTCAAGCTGCCGGGTCCAGGACTTGAACCATCGTGGTCAGCCCTATGGTACTCCAGCACCATAAACACTATGCTACCTGCTGGCCCACCATTTTTATTCTTGAATACTATTTATTGATCTAATTAAGTGTCCCTTTCTAGAAACTTTAGACCGTCATCTTTGGGGTTGTGAAACTGCACCATGACATTGCTCAGTGCGGTCTTTTTGGTTATGCTGGAAATTGAGCAGGTCCTTCATACCCACACATGTAGACGTGTTATGCTGGAAATTGAGCAGGCCCTTTGTACCCACACATGTAGACGTGTTATGCTGGAAATTGAGCAGGCCCTTCGTACCCACACATGTAGACGTGTTGTGCTGGAAATTGAGCAGGTCCTTCATACCCACACATGTAGCGTGTTATGCTGGAAATTGAGCAGGTCCTTCATACCCACACATGTAGACGTGTTATGCTGGAAATTGAGCAGGCCCTTCATACCCACACATGTAGACGTGTTATGCTGGAAATTGAGCAGGCCCTTCATACCCACACATGTAGACGTGTTATTTGCTCCTGAATTTTTTTTTTTTTTTGTACTTCTCCTGCCTCTCTCTCTCTCTCTCTCTCTCTCTCTTAATCGTCGGGGGGGCGGTGCATTGTTTTTCTTTTTTTGTTTTTTTTTTTTGTTCCTCCCCCTGCCTCTCTCTCTCTCTCTCTCTCTCTCTCTTAATCGTCGGGGGGGCGGTGCATGCTCGCCAGAGCGTGTGCCCAGAGGGGTGGCCATGCTCACCCTTCCCCTCCGGCCCTCCGGCCCTCCAGCCCATCATGGTCTGGGGCATGGCCATGTTCTCAGCGTGCTTCCCAGGCTGCCAGAACAGGGACATGGGCTCCTCGCTCAGACCTCAGCCCCCCCCTCCCCAGCCCCGGCTCTGCACCTGGCGCCCCTCCCCCAGGCTGCACCAGGCCTGCCAGGGGCCTGTACCTGCTGGCTGTGTCCTCACCACTCCCTCGCTGCCTGGACTGCCCCCACACCCTGAGAGTCACAGCCCTTCTGTGTCTGTCAGCTTTAATGTGCTCTTTTTGTTCCTCTGGTAGTTTATAGGTGATTTTCTAGAGGAAAAGGAGGCAGAAATAGTTTTCATTTTTTTCATCTTAAAACCAGAAATCCCTAGTCCCTCTGATTCCAAGAAAACGTTTTGCTTTATCATGGCTGGGCTGTCAGTTACCCTCCCAGACGCGGTCACACGGTAGCAAAGGTATCATGCCTCGGCAACCTGCTCGGGCTCAGCCCGGGGGCGGGGCCACATCCCGTCCCACTTGGTATCCCTGGCGCACGGCGCGCTGTGGAGCGCTCGGCGGGGTCTCGGCCGTGGATGGGCTGTCCTGGCCCAGCTGGCCCGGTGTGCAGGCACAGTGCAGGAGAGTGTGACCCGAGCACCCGGGTGTGTAGTAGCAGCACCCGGTCCTTTCTCGCACACAGGCCGGTAGGTACGTGGAAGATATTCTGCAGCCCCGCCAGCAGATGAGATGGAGGAGACTGGAGGAGCGCTTCTGTCGGATGACGGGTGGAACCTGGAAACTAAGCCATGGTCACAAACTGGGGGTGAGAAAAGAACCCCGCTTTGCTCTCATGTCCACATGCACACGCATACCTGTACACGTGTATTTTCTGTCTCGAGTCAGATGGAGAGTGTATGCGTGCATCTGAGGAGGAGGGCAGCCCCGTCCACAGCCTCCTGGGCGCACTGTGCTCTGGGCATTTCCAGACTGACCCAGGGCCCTGACCCAGTTTGCCACATGACTTCCAGCGCTCCAGTTTACGTTGCCACCACCCGCACTGCCAGGCCAGGACTGGCTTTATTCTAGAATCCTGCTGTCACTTAAATTTCCTTTTACGTGTATTGATTTTTTTTTAAATGGAAAATGATGTTAAACTGTTGGTACAGTCTATTGTTGAGAGTCTTCGTAGCTAACGGATTGTCAGGGTTTTTCTTGAGAAAGGTTTCTTTTTGCTATGAGGTGCATGCGCTCACCAGAGGGACAAAGAGAGACAGCGAGTGATCACCCCCAGGGGTATGGCCACACCATAGTCCCGTCACCTCTCAGGATTTGGGGCGCACCTGGCTTGAGTTTCATACCACCGGGTCCGGGACTCCCACCACAGTCTACCACGTGGGAGTGCAGCGATCCAACCATTACGTCATCTGCTGGCCCCTTGTTTATCAGTTTTAACTCAACATATTTATGTTGAAGTGGTTTTCGGTGCCAAAACAGCATGTAACTTGGATCTTTGAAAACATCTTCATTTTTTAACGTCTTTTCTTTTGGAGAGGTTTTTTTTTGCTATAGGGCTGTGCGCGTGCTTGCCAGACAGAGACAGAGAGACAGAAAGCGAGAAATCACCCCCCAGGGGGGATGGACACGCCACAATCCCTTCTCCTCCATTCTCTTCTCGGGATCTTGGGCATGCACGCACACATGCCCAGCGTGAGTTTAAGCCGCCGGGTCCGGGACTCGAACCGCAGCCAACCATGTGGGAGTCCAGCGACATAGCCAGTACACTAACTGCTGGTCCCTTTAACGTCTTTTTTTAATTTAACTCTATTTTTCACTATCATCTCCATTATTATTATTTGCTACGGGGCACGTTCACTTACCAGAGAGACAGAGGGAGAGGTAAAGTGAGAAATCCAGCCGCCAGGTCCGGGACTGGAACCGTGGTGGGAGTGCAGCACCTAACCACACGCCACCGCTGGCCTGAGCCCTTCAAAAGCTCTAACATAGGCAGTCTTAGAAAACTGTCTTCGTGGGACCAGCAGTTAGTGTAATGGCTATGTCGCTGGACTCTCACGTAGTCGACTGCGGCCCCATGTGCACAGGTAGGCCTGGGCTGCACCAGGACACACACACAGACACCCCCCGTGTGAGACGGTCTCACCAAGGATCGTGTTTATAGCACCACTGCCATGGGACCCCCCTTTTTTTTTTGGAGAGGTTTTTGCTATAGAGCGTGTGCGCTCGCCATAAAGACAGAGACAGAGAGACAGAAAGCGAGAAATCACCCCCCCAGGGGGAATGGCCATGCTGCATTCCCTTCTCCATTCTCCTCTTGGGATCTTGGACATACATGCACATGTGCCCAGCGTGAGTTTAAGCCACCTGGTCTGGGACTTGAACCACGGTTGACTACATGGGAGTCCAGCAACATAGCCATTACACTAACTGCTGGTCCCAAGGCAGCTTGGTCTTTGGCTAGTGGCTGCGTGGGATTGAGTAGGAACTCTGTCCTTTATTTGTGGTTGCCCACAGTCTTGCATTTCCTCACAGAGGAACAAAGAAACTCATGAAGGGTCAGTTTTAGAGTAACAGCCACAGGTCTCATGGTGAGGCCATGTTTTTCGGTTTTTCTTTAGTTTGCTGTAGGCTACATGTGCTCGCTGGAGAGACAGAGGGGGGGTAAAGAAGTGCCCTCTTGCTTTGTCCCTCTCTGGTCAAATTAAAATAAGTTAAATAATTATTTATAAAAGAGAGAGAGGCAGAGAAATTAAAAGAATGAGGAGGGTGTTGGTACCAGAGGCAGGCGTGCCGTCAGCTCCCTGTGCTGTGGTGGGTGTGGCCAGCTCTGGGTGCCGAGTTAGCATGGTCCCCATCCCTGTCTCTGTCACCAGATTTTCCTAGGATGAAGCAGAGGGGGAATCTGAAGTGAACATTTTACTCTGATGAAAGGACTTTCTCAGGTTAGTAGGTGTGAAGGAAGGTGTTGCTAACCAAATGAGCATAGGGTTCGGATGAGAGTCTGACAGGAAGTTATTCTGTTAGAGGTTTTGCCTTAGGGCACGTGCACTTGCCAGAAACAAAGACAGGGAGAGGAACAGTGAGAAGTCATGCCCTGGAGGCGATGGCCACTGTAGTCCCTTCTCCATTCTCCTCCTGGGATCTTGGGCATGCATGCACAAGTGCCCGGCATGATTTTTCAGTCACCAGGTCCAGGGCTTGAACTACCCTTGGCCCTGTGGGAGTGCTGTGTCACAGCCACCATGCCCTTTGCTGGAGAAACGTGAAGATTTTCAGAGGGGGTGTGTGCTGCCCAGCACAGAGAGAGAGCACGCAGGCGGGGTGGGGGTGGTGTCACCTATCATGCTGCAACCTTTTCCTCTGTTGTCTGTCCCGTCGGGACTTGAGGCATGCACTCACATGTGCCTGGCGGGTCTTTGAAGCCCAAGTCCTGGGTTTGCCCCACTGTCAGTCACGTGGGGTCCAGCACCCGGTACAGTGCTTGCCTGCCGTGCTCAGAGGCCGGCCAGTTGCTTAACATAACAGCTATTCAATAAAAAGTCACGTGTGTGGTTTCTAGATGAAATCCTTTATTTTCTAAAGTGATTGATTAAAATGAAACCGCATTTGGATTTGAGTGCAGCAGGTGGTACACGGGTTAAGGTGCTGGGCCCCGCACGGCTGATAGCACGGTTCAGTCCCCTTCCCGAGAAGGGTGGAGAAGGGACTGTGGCGTGGCGTCCCCCTGGGTGTGGGAGTAATTTCTCACTGTTTTTTTCTCTCTCTCTCTTTCCTGAATACACGTGCCCTATAACAAATTAATAAAAGAGACATGCCATTATTTGATGAGTTACTGATAAAGGGAAACAAACTTTGGCTCTGAGAACTGAGACGTGTTTATATAGAACAGGACATTATGACAGAGACGGCGTTCAGCCTTGGCGGTCCAGCCTGGTCACGGTCACATACGTAGACATGCTTTACTGCGTGCTCTGTGCCGTATCCTGGGGATCACCCTTGCTTCCTCGGAACAGAAGAAGGGGTATCACGTTTTCCCTGTCCTGTCGAGGAGCCGTGGGGTCAGCCAGGCAGGAAAGGCAGCCAGCCTTGTGTGGAGGAGGCACCCTACTCGGTACCACCCGTCTGTGTCAGCCCAGCTCTGCTTTCCTGACCAAGGAGAACATACAGCTCTGTACCTAGTAAGGGCTCGCGTTTTCCTGCCGGAATGCCAGCAGGGTAAGAGACATACCCACGTGGGGCCAGCTGGTAGCGAGGTGGGCAAGGCGGCTGGATCCTGCATGGCCGACTGTGTTATTGAGTCCTGGACCTGATGCCTTGAAAACCGTGCCGGACACACGTGCATGTGTGCCCAGAACCCCAGGGGAGTGCAGGAGGAGGGATTACAGAGTGGCTCTCTCACCTCCCTCTCCCTGTCCGTCCCTCCCAGTGAGGGCATTCGCCCTCTAGCAAATTAGAAAAAATCGCCCTTTGTGAACAGAAGAAAGTGGAGGTAGCAAGCAAGAATCTCTTTAGAGACTGTCTCTTGTTTCTGACCAGGGCGAGGAGGATGTGGTACTTGAAACAGCAGCCAGTGGGACCCCTGATGGATCCTCAGCCAGCGTGGCAGCCGGGAGCCAGAAGCTGCCTCTGACCGGAGCCTCCCCACCTGAGGAGCAGCCCGTGGTGGCAGAGGTGCGCCCCCACTCTGCGCCCATGCGTGGTAGGAGCATGGCCAGTCCTCTCACAGGATGGGAACTGGCTTTTAACCCACGGGTGTCTGCCACCATCTCCCGGTGCCCCGATCACGACGTCACGGCCGTGCACCCTGTGGCACTGAGCGCCCCTGCTGGGGAGGAGGGTGCACGGCCGTGGCCAGCGGGGACACAGGCTGGTCATGGGGAAGTGGGGGGCACCGGGTGGCTCCGTGGCGCATGGTTAAGGCAGCCAGACCCCACACGGCCATCCTTGTGGCTTGAGTGCCCAGAACCTCCAAGAGGGCAAGTAGAGGGAACGGGTTCAGTGTGGCACTTGCCGTGGGTACCTCCTCGTCTCCAAGTTCCTGTGTCCTCCAGCAAAGGAGGAGCACACCTTGCTCCCTGAGGGACGCTCCTGTCAGGGAAAATGCCAGCACCCCATCCTCGTCCCTGTCCTCATGGCCTTCTGGGGAGTGGGGTCGCAGCCAGGCAGTGCGGGCAGAGTCCAGGACTGACGGCAGTCCTCCCTGCAGATCTCCAGCCCAGGGTTTATTCTGACCGGGAGCTAGAGAAGGCTGGCCATGAGAACCGTGGTTTTGCTGACATGGGAAGGCTGGAGGCCTCCCTGGAGAAGTTTCTCATGTTTGTCCTTCCCTACCTGAGACTGTCCTTTCCGCGGAGCAGCTCGGGGAGTCAGGTTATGGGACTCTGAGTTTCTGACACTTCAGGAAGATTCAGTGAACCACAGGGACTGACGCGGCCTCAGGCTGACAGCAAACGTTGGTTGGCAGTCACTCTTGCTTTCACCACCAAAGGAAAACAAAGGTGTTTTGGCTTTGGTTTTTGGTTTTTTGGGTTCTTTTTTTTTTTTGAGAGGTTTTTGCTATAAAGGGCGCATGTGCTCGTCAGAAAGAGACAGACTGAAAGCAAGAAATTACCCCCCAGGAAGGATGTCCACGCCGCAGTCCCTTCTCTGTTTTCCTCTTGGGATCTCGGGCATGCACGCACACGCGCCCGGCATGTTTAAGTCACTGGGCCTGGGACTTGAACTGCGGTCAACTACATGGGAGTCCAGCAACAAAGCCATTACGCCAGCTGCCGATCTGCAAAGGGATTTTTTAATAAAATGCGAGTAACGTTTGTGAGGTAAAGTGTCGTAAAGCATAGTGTCTGTGGAATTAAATATTAAAGGGGCTAGAAGAGAAAGTGAGGTAACAGTGTGTTAAGGAGATGAACACCATGGGACCAGCAGTTAGCGTAATGGCTATGTCGCTGGACTCCCATGTAGCCGATCGCGGTTTGTGTCCCGGACCCGGTGGCTTAGAACTCACACCGGGCTTGTGTGCGTGCGTGCCCAAGATCCCGAGAGGAGAATGGAGGAGAAGGGATTGCGGCGTGACCATCCCCCCTGGGGGGTGATTTCTCGCTTTCTCTCTCTCTCTCTGTCTGTCTGGCGAGCGCACGCACCCCATAGTGAAAACCTCTCCCAAAAAAAAGGAGATGAACATCCGGTTCTTAATGGTTCACAGAGCACAGAAACGCGTCAACGAGGAGGCCCGAAGTGAGGGCTGCTCCCCGGCCCCAGAGGCTGGGGAGGAAACAGCGCACCCCCTGAGTACGGGCGGATGGGCCTGCATCACTGGGGTCTTAGTGACCTTAGCTCACGTTAATGTTTAGCCTTTGCTCCCTTACACAGTACGTTGTGTGCACCCTGGCAGACCGCAGGGTGCCGTAACGAGGCTCTTTAAGCGGGTACATGGGTAGAGGCCAACTCCATTTTTATGATTTCCTATTAGGACTTGAACGTTCATTGCCTGAGGGCATCTGCACTCCCCAGAAAGACAGGCGGAGGGGGAGGGAGAAAGACCCCCGGTGGGGCGTGGCCTCGCTGCCAGGGCCCGGCTTCAAACGTCTGTGGATGTACAGTGAGCTGGCTGCTGTACTCGGACGTGCCTAGAAACTACTCCGACACGAGTCCTCACTAGACTGGTGGTTGTACCCCGTGAGTGACCAGCACTTACTTTTCTTTAGGTTCCCAATTTACCTGAAGAACCTTCTGAAACAGCTGAACAAGTAAGCATTATTTTTCTTTGAAAATTAACTGTATTTTCTGTTTTCTGTGTTGAACGTCAAATCGAGGTGTGTCACCCACACAGGCTTAGAACGCAGTTAGCCTGAGTGTGTGCCGAGAGCCGGAGCCTGGTGCTGTCCGGTCCCGCGTAGCACTGGCCTCCCTGGCTCAAGGCCGACCTGGGGAGCCCCTGGCGGCTGAGGTCACTTTCAGGCCCACCCTCTGCCTCAGGCAGAAATGGGACACGTGCGTTTTCTAAAACTTCAGGCCAGCAGGTGAGTGCTGTGCTAAAACAGAAGCGATATTGATCCAGCAGGTGGCATGAATGTTTACGTCTCTGGACTCCCACGAAGTCGACCATGGCTCGAGTCTCGGACCCAGTGTCTTGAAACTTAGGCCGGAAGTGTGTGAGTGCTTGCCCCAAATCCCGAGAGGTGAATGGGGAGGAGGCATTGTGGTGTAGCCACCCCTGGGGGCGATTTCTCACTTTCTGTCTGTCTCTGCCTCTCCAATGAGCACATGTGCCCTGTAGCAAAAACCTCTTAAAGCAAAAGCAGAAGCATTAGATCTCAAGCTGTGGCTCTTCCTCTTGGTGAGGTGCGTGAGCTCTGGCAGCTCTGGCAGCGGACAGACCCAGAAACTGCCTGTTTGGTCATGAGGTGCAGGTGGCCCGCAGCCTGCAGTAGCAGGGGTGGGGCAACAGAGCTTCCTTCTTGGAGTGTGGGTGGCACTGGATCTTCTTGAGCTGATAGGTCACTTTTTTGGGGGGGAGGTAGAGATTTTTGCTATAGGGCGCGTGCACTCGCCAGAAAGACAGACAGAAAGTGAGAAATCACCCCCCAGGAGGATGGTTACGGCGGCATCCCTTCTCCTCCATTCTCCTCTCGGGATCTTGGGCACGCACCTGGCATGAGTTTAAGCTACCGGGTCCGGGACTTGAACTGCAGTCGACTACGTGGAAATCCAGCGACATAGCCATTACGCCAACTGCTGGTCCCGATGGGTCACGTTTTTTTTAAGTTTACTTATGTATTCCAAGAGCAAAGGCCGGCCTATAGCAGAGTGGTTAAGAGGCAGATCCCACGTAGTTGATTGCAGTTCAAATCCTGGCCCCGGTGCTTTGAAGGAAAGAGAGAAGAACACACACCCGGCAGCGTCCTCACGGCACGGCTTGCCCCGTCCCTGCCTGCCAGGTCTGTGGCCCTCGCGTGCATGTCCAATGTGTACAGGAGCCCTCGTTCCGTGAACCCATACCACGTGGCTGACCTGTTGCTCCTTCAGACTAGCTGTGACCTGAATGGGCCCTGGTGCTGACCCGCCACTCAGAACTGAGTCCCCACGAGTCTCCGGGGAGCCGTCCAGGCCGGGAGCTTCGCCAAGCTGGGGTGCTCACTTCAACGATTTATCCCTTAGGTCGTGACTGTGGCTCTCCGATGTCCAGGTGGGAGTGTCCTAAGGAGAAGGTTTCTTAAGTCTTGCAGTTCACAGGTGAGGGTTCAGAAGGTTTGCATTTGGGACTATTTCTTTCTTTTTAAAATCTGTTTAATTTTATTATTTAATTGAACCAGAGACAGAGAGAGAGAGAGGGAAAGTGAGAAAGCAAGCTGCCAGGTCAGGGACTTGAACTGAGATCAGCCATGAGGGAGTCCATGCCCTTACCCACCATGCCACCTGCTGGCCCCACATTGGGGTATTTCTGCTAACCTGGGCAGTGGTCTGTGCTGTCACGTGCCATCTGCACTCCCACCGGATGAGGGCAAAGGCCATCCCAGGTGCCCTGCTGCAGTGCTCTGGACACCTGGCAGGTGAGGCCTCTTTGGATGGTGACCTCCGCAAATTCTGTTCAGTTCTTCCCTTTGCTCTATCTTCCTTTTCTGTTTTGTTCTTACTGCGTTTTGGAGTTTGGTGGGTAAGGTGCTTTTAAGTCCGCAGGATGTAGCCAGTGCCAGTGGTCACCGGTTTTGCCATAGGACACATTCACTCACCAGAGACAAAGACAGAGGGAAAGTGAGGACACCCCCCAGGGGATGGCCACACCACAGTTCATGCTCTCCCATTCTCCTCTTGGGATTTTGGGTACACACGCACACATGCCCAGTGTGAATTTCAAGCATCTAGGTCCAGGACTTGATCTGTGGTTGACCATGTGGGACTCCAGCTCCTTAACCACCGAGTTACTGCTGGCCCCTCCTCCAATCTTAAGTTGTTTACAGAGAACACTGTGTTGGCCAGTAGGTGGCGTGGTGGTTCAGGCACCGAATCCCACATGGCCAGTTTTGTGGTTCAAGTCCCAGACTGTACAGCTTGAGACTCACACAGCACATGTGCGTGCCCAAGATCCTGAGAGGAGGATGGAGGAGAAGGGATTGCGGCGTGGCTATCCCTCCTGGGGGGTGATTTCTCTCTGGCAAGTGCATGCGCCCTGTGGTAAAAACGAAAAAACAAAACCAGAAAAAAACAAGCACTGTGCTTGGTAAGGGTGATTTGGAGAACGCAGGAGCAGAGCAGGAAGAGTTGGAGCCAGTCTGACGCCGAGCCAGGCACTAAGGTAGTGTTTCGGTTTCGGTGTCTTCTGTGCACCGAAAACACTCGTACTTCCCTGACTGTCGCGTCTGGCCTCTGACAGGAACACCCTAGGGAGAGTATCGTATCCACGCTATAGACATGAAATGTTTGCAAAGTTTAAATGTATTTGCTATTTTCTTATGATGGTCATTTTTTACAAGGAGCTTATATAAATCAAGGGAGAGACATACGGAGTGACATAAAGCCACGACCAAGATGGCGTATCCGCCGGCATCTGGCTTCACCCAGGCGTGGTGGCCGCTTCTACCTTGCAGGCGGGGGGTGGTTAGGAGGTGGTACCGGTCCTGGCACGTGTGTGAGGAAAACAGGGACTTCCATTACTTGGCGATGAAGTGGAGATGAGACTACTGCTCGGGGAATTTCCCATTATGCTCTTGCCCTTCGTCAATTTAAAAAGAGCCCTCTGTGGCATTGCGGTAAGGCACCTGGACCCCACGCGCTGGCTGTGGGAAATAGGCCAGATGCACATGTGTGTGCGCCCGGGACCCCCACGGGGAATGATGGAGGAGGGCTTGTGGCATGACCATCCCCCGTAGGGGTGACTTCTCACTTTCCTTTTCTCTCTCTCCCCCTCTTCCAGCAAGCACTCCTGCCTTGTGGCAAAAACCATTTTAAAAATCTACTTTAAAATATTTCTAGAGTACAATGATACTTAAGCGAAGTTAGGTATTATTTTTATCGAAACTGCAGCTTCTTTCCAGAACATTTTGTTACCCAGTTTTCTTCCTAAAATATGTCAAGAAATCATCCTTTATTTAAAATAAACATTTTATGTTTTGGGGTAGCAGTAGGTGGAAATTTTTCTCATTCCTATAGGAATCTTCAAGACAGGAAACGGTACAAATTGGCCAGTTGTAGGGTGGCTTCCGGGGCTTGGGCCCGAGTTGTAACCGAGTTGCTGAGTGACCGTGCTGTGTGGACTGTTGGTTGAGATTTTGATAAAACAATGTTTTTTTCCTGTGTACTAACCTTTCCTTGGCTGCTTTTCCATTCGGTGTACAGGGGGCTTTCATAGCTGCAGGTGATCTGCATCTCAGAACTCACAGGCTGGTACTTGCTTTTGCACTCGAAGTCTCTCAGAAATGCATGGAAGTTCTGTCCGGTACTCCTGCGGGCTCCATCTCAGCGACAGGATGGGAAGTCTGGGAGCTGCAGGGGCGCCGTGCGCCACGGTGGTGATGCCGTGCCTTCCATCTCCTAGGTGCTGTCCGACTGGATGAGGGAGACCGGGCACCCCCCCTCCCTGTACAGCCTTTCCGCATCCTTTCCCAGGAGGTCCCTGGATGTGGAGGGAGGCCGGTCCCTGAATGATGTCGGGATCACTGTGGACACTGTCCTCAACGTGGAGGAGAAGGAGCAAAGCTAGTGCAGAGGAGTGGATGCCCCACTGCAGAAGCCAGCTAGCCACGACCACGGTCGAGGACTCCACAGCCTTCCTGCGGGTCCCCACGTGTCGGCCAGCACCCGTGGGCGTACCAGCAAAGGCCCGCTCGCCATGCGTGGTCATTTGTGGACTGTGTGTGCCCTTTCATAATGTCCCAGCAGCAAGGGGAAATGTACACAGGCATTAAATAACCTGCATTTTTCTCAGCTGACATTGTTCTCGCGTGTTGGGGGCCAGCCCCAGAACCTAGTGGCTAATACAACCATGGTTTGAACCCCAGCCAGGGCGGCCTCAAAAACAAACAGAACGGAGAAGGCCTGCAGGGCGTTCTCGTCCTCCCTCTCTGGCAAGCACGTATGTCTTCTAGCAACTGAAACAAAAGTGAAAGTGGGGCCAGATGGTGGTCCAGCAGTGAGGCGCATTGCACTGGGGCAGTCACAGGTGGGGAGCTGCAGGTTCAAGCCCCCAGGTCGCCGTGCATGCACTGGGCACGGGTACCCAGCATCGGCGCTGGCTGGGCGGGCACGGGTCATGGAGCCAGGGCCCTCGGGTGCTAGCCCTGCACTAGTGGAGGAAGCAGACATGCTTAAGCTTTCACCACGGAGCATTGCCCTCGCTGGAGCAACAGATGGAAAGTGAGAAATCACCCCAGGGGACATGGCCACATGGCGATCTCTTCTCCATTCTCCTGGGATTTGGGGTGCACACACGCGCCTGATGTGAGTTTCGAGCCACCAGGTCCGGGACTGACCTTGATCAGCCATGTGGGGGTCTAGCACTTTAACCACTTTGCCACTTGCTTGGCCCAGAGTCAGTCAATAAACTTTTAAAAACTTAAAAAATCTGACCACACAATGAGTATTTTATAGTTCAGTCAGACCCTTCCAAGTCTTAAGGATAGAAATGTTTATTCCACTGTATTTTATAAATTTTTTTCTTTATTTGGAGAGATTCTTGCTGTAGGATACAGGTGCTCGCCAAAGAGACAGAAAGCGAGAAATGACTCCCCAGCGGGGCAGGCCATGCCTCAATTCCTTCTCCATGGGATTGTAGACACATACGCCTGGCATGAGTTTTAAGCCACCGGGTCCAGGACTCAAACCACAGTTGATTGTGTGGGACATACCCTTTATGCCATCTGCTGGTCCCTGTATTTTAGAAATTTAGCACTTTAGGAGACCAGCAGGGGGCATGGTGATTAAGGTGTCGGATTCCCACATGGCCGACTGCTTCGAGTCCTGGACCTGGTGGCTTGCTTTCTCACTTTCCCTTTCTCTCTGTCTCTCTGGTCAAATTAAAATGAATGAACAAATAAATATTTTTTAAAAAGAAATTTAACATTTTAAAAGAAGCTTTTTTAAGCCCTTTAAGTCTTTAAACTTCTTTGGTATGCATTTATTTAACTAATGGCTGCAGTTCATATAGTTTTGTATTAATTTGTAAAGATGCAGTAGATTAGGCCCTTTTTTTGCCTCAGGGTGTGTGCTTGCCAGAGAAAGAGACACAGACAGAGGGAAAGTGAAAAATCACCCCATGGGGTTATAGCCACGCCGCAGTCCCTTCTCTGTTCTCCCAGGAACTTGGGAACACACACACACATGCCTGGCTTGACTCTCACTCCACCGGGTTCAGGACTTGAACCGCAGTCAGCCATGTGGAAGTCAGGCAACACAGCTGCTATATCATCTGCTGGCCAGTCAGTATTTTTAAAGATAAAACCATTTGAGGCGCTGGACTCCCTCATGACTGTTGGTTCAAGGCCTGGACCTACCTAGAGGCTTAAGTTCTCATTTCCCCTCTCTCCTCCTGTCTGTGGTCAAATGAAGTAATATAAATAAGCAATTAACCCAAAGACCAGAGACTGAACAGGTGCGTCTGGGAGCACAAAGTGTGGGGACGATGGACAGTCTGGCTGGGGACACCGAGGGGGTTCTCAGGAGTGAGGGTGGCCCTCATGGAGATGGGGACACTCAGAGTGAATAAGTAGAGTTAAATAAAACAATTTTTCTTTCTTTTTTGGAGAGGTTTTTGCTATAGGATACATGTGCTCGCCAGACAGACAGACAGAAAGTGAGAAGTCACCCCCCAGGGGTATGGCCATGCCACAGTCCCTTTTCCATTCTCCTCTCGGGACCTTGGGCACATGCGCCCGGAGCGAGTTTAAGCCACCAGGTCTGGGACTTGAACCGCAGTCGATTACATGGGAGTTGAGCGACATGGCCATTACGCTGACTGCTGGTCCCAGTAAAAAAATTCTTAGAAATGCCCCTGAGGAAAGACCGACCGCAGCGCTTGCTCAGAAATGTGTGGTTTGAAGGTGGAGGTGAGGCCTGACATGGAAGGCGACCTCAGAACAAGCCACAGGAGACTCCTGGTTCTAAAAGCCTTTGGGTCGCGGCCAGCAGGTGGTGTGGTGGTTGAGGCTGGACTCCCATGTGGCTGGCTGCAATTCAAGACCCAGACCTGGTAGCTTGCCAGCCATGCTGGGCGCAGTGTGAGCTGAGTCCTGAGAGGAGTGGAGTAAAGGACTGCGAGGTGCCGTCTCCGCTGGGGGGATCTCTCACTCTCGCCATCTCTGGCGATTGCACGTGCTCTGCAGCAGAGGAGTGAGTCAGCCACCCGAGGCTGGAGGAGTCACCGTTCTCTCCTGGGGGTGCTCAGAGCTGCCCGTTTGCTCTGACAGGTGGGTCGGGGGTGGTGGTGTGGGGACACACCGTTTCCTGGCCTTGGGCCGGGTGCCCACAGTGCCTTGGCACTGTCTCTGTCTCTCCAGTGAGCGCACCGTGACCCTCCTACAAGGCCCGTCAGGTCAGTACTGCCCTAGCCAGCTTGCACTCGGAGACAGGGAGTTAGGACAGGGAGGCCTTCAGACACGCTCACCAGACCTCCCGGGCAGTCTGGGCCTGGGGGCGCCCTTCAGCCCTCACCCAGCCCCTGCCCTGCTCGTGTGATTGGCAGGCGGGGTTTCAGCACTGTCTTGCAGAACTGGCCCTGGAGGCCCATCTGTCCCGGTCCTGAGGGGCGGACGCCGCGGGGGCCGTCTGGGGCTTCGATGCCCCAGGACAGACACTGGCCCCTCCCACAGACTAATTTCAGATTTAATTTTTTTCAAACACTTACGTATTTGTCGAGGTTTTCAAAACTGCCCGGTCCAGCACTTGAACCATGGTCAGCCACGTGGGAATCCAGTGCCTTAAACACCGCACCATCTGGTGGCCCAGAGCCTTGTATTTTTAGGCTTTTGGGTAATCGTTCTATGTACTGCAGCCCTCTAGCAATGGGATGGAAAATTTAGGAACATGATTAAGAAATTACAGTTCTGTGTAGGTGTGAGAATAATACGGATGAGGGGAGAGAGAAACCGTAAAGAGAAATTCTACAATCTGACGGGATTTGGGGCCAGAACTTGTTTCCGAACCATCAGGGCAGGGTTGGCAGCGGGAACGGGGGCGAGGACTTGCCACCACACGGAGGCCCGCTGGCTGCTGCTCAGTCTACTGGCTCCTTTTCCATTAAAAGGTGTCAAGCTGACGATAAAAAGGGTCAGGCTTTGTAAATCTGTCAAGTGATATGTGAGAAGGCCTTGGCTCAAGGCAGTTTGGTTTTTTTTTTTTTTTTTTTAACCCAATGGCCCCAGCAAAAGCGAACTAGAATCCTGTGTCGTGGCCGGCCTGCCACTGTGCTACGACATGCTCTTCAGTGAGTGAGACGGGACGGTAGACGCTGGCGTCCTAAGTATGCCAAGGGACGTGCTTCTGGGTGTTTTTAAAATACTACACACGCCAGACCAGGAGTGGACGCCAAGGGCAACCCAAAGCCAACCCCTCCTGGTGGAAGGGACCCCTCGGGACTGCCCCCTCTGGCTGCACTGGGGGATGTGCGGTCTTCTCAGAGTTTAATGATACAACAGCTGCCCTTTAAGGAACACAAAGTTGGTTTAGGTTGTCCTATGATGACAGTGACATTAAGGGGCATTTTGTCATGGCAGAAAAGAAAATTTGAAAAAACAGCCATCCGGCAAGCAGGTATCATGGTAGTTGAGGCACTGGATCCCACACAGCCAACTGTGGTTCAAGTCCCAGACCAGCGGCTTGAAAAGCATGATGGGCACACGTGTGTGGAGCGGAAGGAACTACAGTGAGGCCAGTCTCCCTTGGGGGTGATTTCTCACTTCCCCTCTTCCTCTGGCACACACGTATTCTATAGCAAAAAACAAAAAAGAACAAAAATGCAGCTATCTTTTCATGAAGGAAACTTTTAAATTTAAAAATATATAAATATATATGAGGGGCCAGGAGGTGGCGTGGTGGTTAGGCTGCTGGACTCCCACATGGCTGACCACTGTTTGAGTCCCAGACCTGGCAGTTTCCTCTCTCTGGTGAATTCACATGCTCTATAGCAAATTAAAGGATGATAATAAACAAAAGTAAATAATTCTCTAAAAGAAACGAAACATGAACCCCCCTAGAAGGGCTGGGATGGTGGCTGGCCTTCATTAGCTAAGTGCTCTGTCTGCTTGGACTTCGGCTTCCACGTCGGATGCAGAAAGCTGCAAAGACCACGACCCCCCGACCCCAGCAACCAGGAACAGCTGGAGAGAGCACACATCTGGGCCAAGGCTGAGTCCCAGAGAAGCAAGTCTCAAAATGCGCCAGGGAGGTAGCCGCTCGTGAGCTGGTACAGGGGCCTCACGGGGCGGCCCTGCTCGTGTGCACCTGGTTGGCCACTCCACTGCCGGGCCTTGGCGCAGACAGGCGTGGGCGCCCCTGCTCGATGATGGCGGAACGTGAACCGAGCGTGAGCCTGGCTGTGTGCTGCCCCGCTCACCGGGGAGCTCCCTCAGCCTTCCCCAGGTGTCAGGGAGACGGCGAAGACCAGACAGCCAAGCTCAAGCAGAGGAGGGTATAGAGGCTGTGGGGACAGGCAGAGCCCCGCTTCCTAGGGCCCTCTGCTCGCCCTGCAAGGGAAGGACCAGCAGGCAGCACAACCACAGGCCCTTGTGAAGGTCCAGTTCCGGGAGGAGAGGCAGCCCCTAAGCCCCTCCGGGACTCAGATTCAATGCTGCTAGGAGAAGGGCAGAGCCCGAATTCCTCCCTGGGGGAGGGGCAGAGGCCAGATGGCAGCGGGTGCTGGGCAGGGGCCAGGGACAGCTTCCTGTACCAACGGGAGACGGGAGGAAGAATGGGAAAGCCGAATACACCTCACCCCAGAAGCCAGAGCACGAGGGACCAGCCTCAGGACGGAGGCCCTGCCCCAAGCAGCGGCGGAGTCCACAATGGGGGCAGGGGGAGGACATGCAGATGACCCTTCGGATGCAGCCACAGGGCCTGGGACTGAAACTGCATGGGTGGCCATGGGGGCCAGCGGGTGTGGTGGTGAAGGTACTCTCTGGCAAGTGCACAGGTCTAGGACAAACCCTGAGAGTTTGCATGTGGTTTCTCACACTTCCGCAGCCGAAAGAGAGGACTAGCGGTGACGGGGGCTCACCAGCTCGAGGTTGGGGGGGCGCCACGTGAAGAGGTGCAGTATCGCCTGAGGGGAGACTGTTAGAGACAGAAACCAGACCCCAAAGCAGACAGCAAAGGAGCACAGAGGTACAGCCAGGAACCACTAAGGAGGGAAATGCAATAGGGAGTCCATGAATTCGAAAGGACTCAGAAAAAGAAATGAGATGAGAAAGAAGCAAACAGCGAAGCGACAGGCGCGACACAGGCACACCAGTGACCACATTAAACATGCCAGCTCCGAATGTCAGAAGCAAAAAGTATTAGATTGAAGTTTTTAAAATATTCAGAACAAGGGACCAGCAGTTAGCGTAATGGCTATGTCACTGGACTCCCGCGTAGTCGACCGCGGTTCGAGTCCCGGACCCAGTGGCTTAAACTCAGACTGGGCGCGTGTGCGTGCGTGCCCAAGATCCCGAGAGGAGAATGGAGGAGAAGAGACTGCGACATGGCCATCCCTCCTGGGGGGTGATTTCTCGCTTTCTATCTCTCTCTCTCTCTCTGTCTCTGTCTGGTGAGCGCATGCGCCCGATAGCAAAAACTTCTCCAGAAATAAATAAATAAAAATTTTAAAAAAGATGGTGTTTACCATAAACGAAGTTTCAGGCTAGCCATCTTTAAAAAAAAAAAATTCAAAACAAGAGCCAGCAAGTGGCGTGCAGCTTAAGGTTCTAGATCCCACATGGCCAGGCTCCATGGTTAGAGTTCCAGACCTGGAGGCTTCGAAAATTACACCGGGGGCAGATCAGGACCACTGAAGACCCTCTGCCCAGACCTGCACCCTCCTGCCCCCAGACCTGGCCAGGACAGGCCCATCAGCAGCCACCTATGCCCCTTTCAGGGACTAGGACCTCTGAAGACCCTCTGCCTTCGCCCTCTTGCCCCCCCCCTCCAAATCTGGCCTGGTTAGAGCACTCTATTTATTCTGTCTCTTTATCTCTATAAATTTTTTTTTCACTTTTAAACATCTTAGCTCTTGCCCTTTTATCTTGCTAAGTCTGACCTTTGCTCCCTCCCACACAGGACAAGCCAATCAGCAGCCATCTATGTCTGAGTTCTGAGAGGCCCCTTAGTGTACCACACGGTTCTCATTTTTTGTTTAAAAAAAAAATTTTTTTGTTTGTCTTGTTTTCTCTTGTTTTCTTTTCCTTTTCTCACTTTTCTGCTCACCCTCTGCACACTGAGTTTCTAGACAAGTCTAGGTGCACAGTAGCCAAATATGTCAATACTTTGGGGTCAGATTAGTTCCCAATTTCCATGGGATCTGATGCACGAAGGGAGAAAAGCAGTACTGCTTAGAGAGTGCGGGTCACCACCTCTGCACGCCTCTGACTGCTCAGACTTAGCTCCAAAACCTAGGAAAAACATGTCACCCATCAGATGACCAGAAACCACCACAGAGGCACAAGAAATATGAGAAACCAGGAAAATCTCTCTCCCCCAAGAGAAAAGAATGACTCAGCCTCCACCAACAACCCAAGAGAAGTCATGGAAAGGTCAGATAAAGAACTGAAGTATGCATAGTGACAGAGCTAACAGAGATGCAAGAGAAGAGAGACAATAGACTCCGGAAGATGCAGGAAGAGAGACACGAGTTCCAGAAGGTGAGGAAGTTCTTGCATGATCTGAAAGAGGAAATACACACCATAAAAAAGAATCAAGTGGAATTGTTAGAGATGAAGGCTATAATGCAAGAAATCAAAACCTCCCTTGAAAGTACTAAAAGCAGAGTAGATCTGGGTCCAGGAGGTGGCGTAGTGGTTAAGGGTGCTGGACTTCCACATGGCCAAAAGCATGATCAAAATTTAAAAATAAATAAATGGGTAAATAATTTTTCTTTAAAAAGTACTGTCTACAAGAGACAATGGCAATGGATAAGTAAACCCACTCAGAATTCAACGGCTACTACAAAATACTGGCTGTCGTAGCCAGAGCAATACGAGACATGTACGGAAGGTCATGAAGGTGAGGAAAGGGTGAACTATGTACTGACAGACAACATGACTTTCTAATTACTTTAGGGAAAGTAACTTCTTAGAAGAATTAAGTGTATTTAGTATAGTTACTGGACACAAGCACAATATTTAAAAAATCACTTTTACTTCAATTTATCTTCACTAGAACAGAAAATAAAGTCATACATGCTGGGTCTGTGTGCACGCACGCCAAAAGCCCAAGGTGAGGGTGGAGAGAGGACTGTGCTGACCATCCCCTTGGGTGGATCTTTCACTTCTCCTGTCAAGCATGTCTGCTAAAGCCAAGCAAACATGCCTGAAAAATCATTCATTTTCAGGGAGGGGGCAGCAAATGGCATGAAGGTTAAGGCGCTGGATCCCACATGGCCAAAAGCATGGTTCACGCCCCAGAGTCGGCAGCTTCTAAATCACGTCAGGCACACACATGCATGTCTAAAATCCTGAGAGAAGGACTGTGGCATGGCCAGTACCCTGGGGGGTGATTTCTTATCCCCCACCGCCCCATCTATATGGCGAGTGCACATGTCCTACAGCAAAAACTAAAAAAAAAGTTGTTTTCTGTGTCCCCCCACACCCTCGGCACCGATGCCCTGTCCATCTGTCTGAGTCTGTAATGCACATCTGAGTATCACTGCCACTTCTACTCAACTCTCTTTAGAAGACCAATTTATTTCTATTTCTAGATCAAAAGAGAAAAAAGAAACTATTTTAGATTTTAAAAGTATTCCCAGCTATATAATATTCTATAGTTTAAGATATAATCCATACTTTGTGCTTAAAAAACATTAAAACACTGATACGAACAATCTAATGAAAGGTTTAGAAAAAAAATTGTCTTTCTGTGGTATGTTATCAACTAATATTTAAATTCTTAAATCTGAAATTAAGCCCTATGTAAATATTAAATTGCTTCAGTACAACTGTTCATCATGTCAACAGATTTTATAGTTTCAAAATAGTGAAGCTCTCATCTAACACACACCACAAAAATGAATGTTTTTCTTTAAAATGAAAAGTTTATTTGCTCAGTACACTGAAGAGGATGCAAGCACTGTCATGACAAATATACAGAAATATGCAGATCAACATTAAAAACAGTCATTTAGTTTAAATGAAGGGAAATCTCTTTAAATGTTATGACAACGTACTCCCATGAAGAGTCTTTTCTTTAGTTAATTATACATTTCAATAAAATGAAGGGTAATGGACTAAGTGGAAGTTAGCTTGTGAATTTTTCTTAGAAACTCCACCTCTACCGCAAAATACTGCCGGTCGTAGCCAGAGCAATACGAGACATGTACGGAAGGTCATGAAGGTGAGGAAAGGGTGAACTATGTACTGACAGACAACATGACTTTCTAATTACTTTAGGGAAAGTAACTTCTTAGAAGAATTAAGTGTATTTAGTATAGTTACTGGACACAAGCACAATATTTAAAAAATCACTTTTACTTCAATTTATCTTCACTAGAACAGAAAATAAAGTCATACATGCTGGGTCTGTGTGCACGCACGCCAAAAGCCCAAGGTGAGGGTGGAGAGAGGACTGTGCTGACCATCCCCTTGGGTGGATCTTTCACTTCTCCTGTCAAGCATGTCTGCTAAAGCCAAGCAAACATGCCTGAAAAATCATTCATTTTCAGGGAGGGGGCAGCAAATGGCATGAAGGTTAAGGCGCTGGATCCCACATGGCCAAAAGCATGGTTCACGCCCCAGAGTCGGCAGCTTCTAAATCACGTCAGGCACACACATGCATGTCTAAAATCCTGAGAGAAGGACTGTGGCATGGCCAGTACCCTGGGGGGTGATTTCTTATCCCCCACCGCCCCATCTATATGGCGAGTGCACATGTCCTACAGCAAAAACTAAAAAAAAAGTTGTTTTCTGTGTCCCCCCACACCCTCGGCACCGATGCCCTGTCCATCTGTCTGAGTCTGTAATGCACATCTGAGTATCACTGCCACTTCTACTCAACTCTCTTTAGAAGACCAATTTATTTCTATTTCTAGATCAAAAGAGAAAAAAGAAACTATTTTAGATTTTAAAAGTATTCCCAGCTATATAATATTCTATAGTTTAAGATATAATCCATACTTTGTGCTTAAAAAACATTAAAACACTGATACGAACAATCTAATGAAAGGTTTAGAAAAAAAATTGTCTTTCTGTGGTATGTTATCAACTAATATTTAAATTCTTAAATCTGAAATTAAGCCCTATGTAAATATTAAATTGCTTCAGTACAACTGTTCATCATGTCAACAGATTTTATAGTTTCAAAATAGTGAAGCTCTCATCTAACACACACCACAAAAATGAATGTTTTTCTTTAAAATGAAAAGTTTATTTGCTCAGTACACTGAAGAGGATGCAAGCACTGTCATGACAAATATACAGAAATATGCAGATCAACATTAAAAACAGTCATTTAGTTTAAATGAAGGGAAATCTCTTTAAATGTTATGACAACGTACTCCCATGAAGAGTCTTTTCTTTAGTTAATTATACATTTCAATAAAATGAAGGGTAATGGACTAAGTGGAAGTTAGCTTGTGAATTTTTCTTAGAAACTCCACCTCTACCGATCCATGCCAGTTAAACACTGGCTAAGGTTCCCAAGTAAGCGCGAAAGGAGATGAGGCAGTTTGTGACCGCTTCTGCCCGAACAGTCCGGAGAGAAGGGTTCCTATGAACACAGCCGACTGTCGGCCTGCCGGCCTCGGGCAGGGGGCTGGACTGCAGGCTCGCACCGAGCCAGCCGACCCTCAGCAGGATGGCACATTTGGTCTACGATGTGGTTTAGCGCCCAGACAGACCCCAATGCTTGGATTATGCTGCCTTTTTTGTTTGTTTTTAAACACACGTATTTTTAAAAAGCCAGGTGACTTCCACACAGAAAGGCAGGTCTCCCAGGAGGCGTTTATAGGAAGTAGTCTGGGTCTCCTAGGTGGCATTTACAGGAAGTAGTCTGGGGTGCGCCGGGTCACGTGAGGCTCGCCACGGCGAGGCGCGGGGTCAAACTGAAGGCTGTAGGTGGCAAAGGCAGCAAACGGTCAAGCAACAAATTAGGAAAGGACACGGTAACGCAGCAGAGACGGCAGTCCCGGGGGCCCACTACCGGCTTCACCCACGGTGGCCCAGACCTGGCCACCTGTCTAGTTTGGTGGCATAAAAGGTTCTAATGCCTTGCCAGCTGAGCGGCCATGGAGACCGGTTCTCTTTATTAGGCTGAGGACATCCCCTTCTGTGGCTAGTCTGTTGCATTTAAGGAGCTGGGCTGGGTCTGTTAAGTGTCTTTTTGCCTCAGCTGAGATGACTGTTTTGTTGTGGTTCTTTATTATGGTCTGTTCCAGGATCTCCATGTGTGGGTCAGCTCTGCAGTCCTGAGAACCTCACTGGCTGTGGTGGACCACCCTTTTTAGGTATTGCTGGGTTTGGTTTGCTACTATCTTGCTCAAGATGCCTGTACCTGTGTTTTATAGAAGTACCAGTCTGAACTCTTCGTGGCCCAGTTTTAGTGTCAGGGTAAAGGAGTCTCAGAAGGAGTCAGGGACTGAGCCCTCCTCTGCTGCTTTCTGAAAGCGCTTGTGCAGGACTATTGTGAATTTGCTCTTAGAAAGCACCAGTAAAGCCAGCTGGGGCTGGGTTCATCCCCATGGAAAGTCTAGAAATGAATTAAAACCCACAGGCGACATGCCTATTCCAATTTCGCTTCTTGAGTCCATCTCGGTCAGTCCTCTCTACGAGCATCTGTGCATTAACGGGCGTCACCTCACCTGCTGCTCCGTTTACTTTATCCTTACACTCTCCCACTTCATCAAGGGTGGCTGTGACTTTAAACATGTCCTTTATTCACGGAAGTGCACGTGGGGAGAGGAGAGGCGGCTGGTTGCCCGCCCCGCTTGCCCATCGGGCCCCGGCCCTGTGTAGGGTCAGAGATTGGCCCTGTGGTCACTATGTGGCCCGTCCTCGCTCGGGCAGGTGTCACGCCCACCAGGCTAGTTCTGCAGCGGTTCTGACACTGAGTCTTCACTCTTTCTCCTTGCAGTCTGGTCTTGTTAAAGCCCTTTCAATTTTATCAATTTGTTTCAAAGAACCAACTGTGTGTTTCACTGCTCTGTTGCTTTCTACTTTACTTCATTTATTCCTACTATAAACTATTTGCTGCCATGTTCATCCTGGCTCGGCCTGCTCCTCCTCCTTCTAGGTTCTCAGGGTACTGACTCGAGACCTTCCTTCAGCTGCCATTTCCCAGCAAGCAAAGCCTCACCATGTCCCATAGTTCTGGGACACTGTTTCTGTTTTCATTCATCTGAGTATTTTGTGGTTTTCCTCAGGATTTCTTATGTCTCTGACCCACTAGGTTATTAGGAATCTATTGGTTTGCAGCTATTTACAAGTTTCCCAGTTACCAATCTCAGGCTTAAGCTTGGAGAATACACCTTACACAAGTCCAGTCTTGTGAAACTTACACCCTGGCACAGGGTCTGGCTATGTTCCCTGTATGTTCTGCTGGTGTGAGGGTGCGGCTTTGTAGATGTTCAGTCTCAAGCCAGAGTGGCTTCAGTGTGACTTCCTGGATCCTGACAGCGACAGTTTCAGCTGTCTACGTTTTCTTGTGTGTAGGCCACGCTTTCCTATTCCTTCCTGTGTCTTAGAATTTGTTGTTGAAAAATGGACGTAATAGCTACTATTCTGAATTCTGGACCCCAGTCTTGCTGGGGACTGAGCCCGGGACCCCACAGGCGGCTGGCTGTCCTGCCCGAGGCCGGCAGACACAGCAGCTCCGGGATGCGTGCCTCCCCGCAGTGTGCACTCGTGGACCTCAGACTGTTCAAAGCTGTTTTAATCTCAGCCCGAGGGTGCTGGCTGGGCCTGAACCTTGATCAGCCACAAGTGGCACTTGGGCATCCCGGGCCTTCCTGCTGCTGTCTAGGTTGAGGGCGTACAGAGGTGCACACAACTGGCTCGCTATTCAGCCAGCGCCGAGCAGCCCTTCCTTCCCAGGTCAACCCCACAAGCATGGCCTTGGGGTGCCGTTTTTCAGGCTGTCAGAGAGCAGCGTGGTGTGACTTTTCAGCGTGGCTTCCTCATGGGCCAGGGTAATTCGTCCAGTTGGTGTTTCCCGAGAGGGGACAGTTAAGTCTCTAGTGCCAAGGAGGGTCATGCCTCCTTAATCCATCACTAAGCTCCCTAGGGCTGCTGTGATAAATACCAGCTGGGGTGCTTCAACGAGAGTCGGCGCTCGCAGCGTTCTGGAGGGTGGGGTCTGAGACCAGGTCCTGCCAGGGCTCTCCTCCCTCTATAGGCTCTAGGGAAGGCCTCTGCTCGCCACTCCTGGGGGCTCTGGCAGCCGTGGGCCTGCAGAGGCATTGCTCGGCCTGTCTTTGCATGGTGTTCTCCCACGTGCTCTTTCTCCTCTGATGAGGATGCCGGTCGGACTGGAGTTAGGGCTTCCCAGCCCAGCAAGGCCTCATCTTAAATCTACATCTTACGACTACATCTGGGGACCAGCGGTTGGCATAATGGTTATGTCGCTGGACTCCCATGTAGCCAACCGCGGTTCTTGTTTTCTCACTTTCTGTCTCTTTGTCTCTCTTTCTGGCAAGTGCATACACCCTATGACAAAAAAAACAAAAACCAAAAACCAAAAAAAAAAACAAAAAAAAACCTCTCCAAAAAGAAAGAAAAAGAGACCAGCAGTTAGTGTAAGGGCTATGTCACTGGACTCCCATGTAGTTGACTGCGGTTCGAGTCCCGGACCCAGTGGCTTAAACTCAACGCCAGGTGCGTGTGCGCCCAAGATCCTGAGAGGAGAATGGAGGAGAAGGGATTGTGGCGTGGCCATCCCCCCGGGGGGTGATTTCTCGCTTTCTGTCTGTCTCTCTCTGTCTGTCTGGTGAGCACACGCACCCTATAGCAAAAACCTCTCCAAAAAACAAAACAAAACAAAAAGACTATTTCCAAATGACATCACCTTCTGAGGTCTGCTCAGGAACACCCCCTTCCTGATTGGCCCCAAGGAGTCTGGCTGGCCCTGTGTGCTGTGCCCCCAGCAGCCTTCTCAGCTGGCTGTTCCCTACTGTCCCTGCTACATATGGCTCTGGTCGTCTGCTTCTTGCTACTAGTGCATGGGAGCACCTCCTCCATGACAGCCACCGTCATGACAAAACATGCAGGCTCGGGACACGGTATCTTCACGCCACGTGCCCTGAAGGCAGAGCTGAGGGCTGTCCTGGCTGCCTCCCGCAGTAGATCACCGGTGCCAATGCCAGGCACAGGGCAGCCGGCTGCTCGGTGACACCAACACCATGAGCAGGTGGCAGTGTGAGCACACTGGGTGCCATGTGCTGGCACGGAGCTTCCCCGGGAGTGTACGCCCACCCACAGGGCACAGCTTCTGAGACCTAGGCTGGGAGTACTGGGCCCTCCAGGGAAACCATAGTCCTGGGACCAGGAGCCCCCAGACCACAGCAGAGGAATGCGTGTAGCAGCCCGGGCCAGGACAGAGGCAGGGGACGTCACAGGTGGTTACTACTGATAGGCGGTGCCTTTCTTAGACAGAGGTTTCTCCATTCGCTGTGTTTCTGCAGGGCAATTGCTAAATACCTCAATTGTTTTTAAAGCAATTTCCTCTACTGAGATTGTTTCTGCTAGGGTGTAGGTTTGCCATGCTCCCAGGTCCACCCCTGCAGAGCAGAAACCCGCTACCTCTATCTCCTGCTCTTAGTATCTACATGTAAAATGTCCCTTTTGCGAGTAGCTATGAACAACTGAGTGCAAAGTCAGTACTCACAAGGAGTATTTCAGGGTGTCGTCCAGCTCCATGATGGCGGCCTGGTTCCCGCAGCGGTAGCAGTAATTGGGTGCGCTAAAAATGGTCACCACGTTGCGATCATGACACCAGTTGTATCCCTGAAGAATTTTTAAAACTTCAGTATTTATCATAAATTATGATTTTTTTGAAGTTTATTATTTTATGTCTGAGAGACATATACTAGAGACAACCACCCTCAAGGGGATCTTAGTGCTGCAATTCACCCCCAGCCCCAGCCGGCCAGGGTCACGGCTGTGTGAGCACCTGAGGTGCACAGGGATGCCCCAGGACACGAACCTCCTCCTGCACGACAACTGTCACCACTGTACCCCATCTAGTTCCTAAAAGTTATCCCCCAACATAGCTAAATTGAGGGAAACCAAACTCAACGGAAGGTCTCCATGTTTAATACCTTTAAATGCTAGAGGGCACACATAAACGGCCGGAGACAGAGGGAGAAGCACCTCAGCAGGGTGTGGCCAGACGCAGCGGGGTGTGGCCAAACCCCGTCTCCTCCTTTTCTCCACCCTGGATTTGGGGAATGCACATACACATGTGTCTGGCATGTTTTTCAAGACACCAGGGCTGGAATTCACACCATGTTCAGCCACGTGCAGTCCGGCTCCCTTAGCCACTGGTCCACGGGGCTGGCCCAGGGCCTCTGCCTCGAGCAGTTCCTGGACCTGCAGATGCTGCACTGCTCTTGGGCCTGGCTCTGACGGGAGCTCAGGGACAGCAGTATCTCGCTTCATCTGCACCCAGGTCCCAACCAGGGTCTGCACCGACTTCTCTTGCACTCGTAACAGATCCCACTTTGCCTATAAACTGTGTCGGTTTCTGCTTCCTATGTTTTGGAGCTACTGGTAAACACAAACTTAGATTATCTCTTGGACTGAGCCAGGTAATTAACTCTTTTCCTTTCTAATGACACCTTAGAGAGACAACGAGGGCAAGTAAAATTCTAGTCCATTTGTATTTATGATTATCCATACAATTAAATTTTATAATAGAAACTATGTGGGCTTTTTCCTTCTCCTTTTTTTTAAGTCTGTTATAGGACACATGCAGTCGCAGGGGTAAGGGAACAGGAGAAAGGTAAGAGAACACCCACGGTGGGGCTGACCATGCTGCAAGCCCTTCTCCTCTCGGGATTTTAGGCACACAGGTACATGTGCCCAACATATTTTTCAAGTTGGCAAGTCTGGGACTCAAACCACACAGTTGGCCATGTGGGATCCAGCCACCTTAACCACCAGGCCACTTGCTGGCCCAAACTTATGCTCTCTTTTCATCATACACGTACAGTTTTCCTTGGCTTTACTCGGCTGGTGCAGTTCTCCCTACCCCAGCCCAAGGCAGTTGTCGTTCTCACGTACGCCTGCCAAGATGCAGGTCCTGAAGTCATTATCGTAATGCAGCAAAAATCAAACAAACCCCAACTGAGGGAGGTTTCTACTAAATAAAGTGCTTGAACGCTTCCAAAATGCCAACATCATGCAAAAAGCAAAAAAATCTAAGGAATTATTCCCACAGCTAATGAGACTTAATAGAATGTAGTCTTGGATTAGGCTATACACACATGCACAAAGCAAAATTTTGCCAATGAGATAATTAGCAAAATCCAAGTAAAGCGTTTGTTAGGTAACAGTACTGTGTCGACGCAGTGCCCGTGCAAGATACTTTTTTTGGAGAGAGGTTTTTGCCCTACGGCACGTGTGCTTGCCAGACACACACACACACACAGAAAGGGAAAGGGAGAAATCGCCCCTGGGGGGGGGGGTGGCCATGGCACAATCCCTTCTCCTCCCAGGATCTTGGGCATGCATGCACACACGCCCAGTGTGGGTTTCAAGCCACCAGGTGCAGGACTTGAACCGTGATCGGCCATGTGGGAGTCCGGTGATGTAACTGCTATACCATCTGCTAATTCCAATAATTTTTCTTTTCTTTTTTGGGGTAGAGGTTTTTGCCTTAGGGCACGTGCACTCACCAGGAAGAGATAAAGAGACAGAAAGCAAGAGATCACTCACCTCCATCACAAGCTGGTGAGCACGAGAAACCAGCGTGAGCCCATTGGCGTGGTTGAACGTTTCGGAAATGTCCTGTCCAAATGTGTAGCCGGCGCCACGTGGGGAGATGCCCCAGCCACCACGGTCATCGGGGTCTGACCAAAGCAGATCGCACATGGGGCCCTGGTCGAGGGAATCAGCACACGTGCCCATTGTTAGCTGTCGCAGTTAACCAAGCAGCCCCCCAATGCCACTGCGGTTCTGTCTCTTCTCTTCTTCTGTAAGCAGTTACCTCATGTGGAACTTCCTGTAAACGGTCCAGGGCTCTGATATGGTCCAGTGTGTCTATGGATGGAGACAGGCCACCATGGAGGCAGAATATCTGTGCAGGGCGACAGGAAGAAAACAATCGGCATTCCTAGCTGCTGGAAGTTAACGAAGGCAAATGAAGGCTGCAGACACTAGCCTTGACAGTGCTTCTGCTCAGAGTTCAGTTCAGTATTACCTACCACAGGGAATTCACCACACACCAGAGCAGAGGGCTGTGAGCCTGACGCGTGCCCGCAGCTCTCCTCGCCTGTGCTGGGCTCTGATGCCTGACACAGTTGTCTGTCCAGCTCTGCGCTGCATGTTCCTAGGATTCTTATGCTCTCTCTCCTCTGGCAACAAAGGGCCACCCTGCTGCCACTGCGTTTTCTGTTGGTTACTGTTAATGCATAAATTTGTTTGCCACGGCAAATGTCCTACTGATCCCTGTTATTGGTTTACAATTTCAGTTTTCTTGGACTCTGAGTTATATAGTCGTATTATTGCAGGAATATCTGTACTCCCCAAAGCTGGCACCTCTTCATTCTTGTTACTACCCAGTGCACAGGCCAGGGCTTCCAAGACAAAGCCGATCAATGAAGTGCCCTTGTTCTTGGGTTTATAAACTGTATTCTCAGGTTGGTCTCCTGGGACTGCATATCACAGCAAGTAAGTATGAGTTTAAGAGAACACTTTCCTGGGGCTGGCAGGTGGCCTGGTGGTTACAGACGCTGGACTCCCACATGGCCGACTGCGGTTTGAGTCTCAGACCTGGCAGCTTTCTCTCTCTCTCCTTTACCCTCCCTCCCCCAGGTTAAATGGAAATGAAATAAATAAAGTTAGATCATTCTTTTTTTTTTAAAGAATTGTTTTACTTAACTTTATTTATTTATCCATTTTTAATTTCAATTTGACCAGAGAGGGGGAGAGAGAGAGATAGAGAGAAAGTAAGAAAGCGAGAGAGAGAGAGAGAAGGAAAGAAAGAAAGCCACTAGGTTCAGGACGCGAACTGCAGTCAACCATGTGGAATCCAGCGCCTTTAACCACCACGCCATCTGCAGGCCCCAGATAATTCTTTTTTTATTTTTTTTTTAAAAAGAGAGAGAGCATTTTACTCCTGAGTTTGATGAGACTTCTTATATTTCACTGATAAGTACAGTCTTAACTGTAAAATTTCTTGTCACATTACTGTTTAACAAGTTTTTTTAAAAATCAATTATTTATTTAATTCCACTTGTTATTATTATTTTTAATTCAAATGGCAGTGAGGGAAGAAGTGAAAAAACAAGCTGCCAGGTCCAGGGCTCAAACCACAGTTGGCCATGTGGGAATCCAGTACCTTTAACTACCACACCACCTGCTGGCCACAGCGTCTAACAAGTTTTAAAGTCATGCACAGGTGTGGAATTTTTTCCAAATGATTCTATGATTCTAGTCTGACTTTATTTTCCCATGCTTGGAATGTCTCGTGTGGTGCTGGGGTCACACCAGATGTATACTGAGTCCTGAGGCACTTGTCTTTCCCCAAGATCTGCACATGGACTCTGTATGTCCCCTTTAAAGGGTTATCAGAATTAGCCTATAAAACTGCTTACACCTGATTACTTTGGTCACCACCCCCCCCTTTTTTTTTTTTGGGTTTTTTGTTTTAGGGGGTGTGGCGTTGGAAAGACAGAGACAGAGAGACAGAAAGCGAGAAATCACTCCGCACGGGGGGGATGGCCACGCCGTAATCCCTTCTCCTCTCAGGATCTTGGGCACGCACGTATATGCGCCCAGCATGAGTTTAAGCCACCAGGTCCAGGACTCGAACTGCGGTCTACTACATGGGAGTCCAGCAATGTAGCCATTATGCCATCTGCTGGTCCCATCCCATTTTTTTCTCTTTATTGCCAAAGAGCACATGTGCTCACCAGAGAGAAAAGACACACCACCACACACCAGGTGAGGCCACATGCAAGCCTTTCCCTCCCGTTCTCCACCCATCAGGATTGGGACAGCACCCACGCAGGCAGCTTTCAGGCCACTGAGGCTGGGTCTTCAGCCACGGCCGGCTGTGCTGGGTCCTGCTGTCTATACACAGTGCTGAACCATGGCTAGGGCCGACCACTTTTCCGACTTTGTTTCAAAGTTTAGTATCCTATCTCTATGGGACATTTAAGAGCAGAATCTAACAATCACAGGTCAGAGTTATTTCCATCTTATTTATCATCGCCACTATCATTATTTTTAATTTGCCACAGGGCAGGTGTGCTCACTGGGGGCAGGGAGAGAGCCAACCAGAGGAGGAGAGTGAGAAAGCCAGCCGCCAGGGGCATAACACGAACTTTATTTGGGCTATGTTGGGGAGTCTAGTTCCTTAACCACATGCCACTTGCTGGCCATGTGGTGTTTCTCAAGCCACTGGGTCTAGGACTACGCTACTGGTCATATGGGATCCAGCTCCATCAACCACTGGGCCATGGGGCTGGCCTAGACCTTACTTCATTCCCAGGATTTTATGTACCATCCCTCCTTCCTACTGATCAGTTTCGCCCATTATACGTTTAGTATCTTTTTTTTTTTTTTATTAATTTTTTAAAGAGGGATTTCAGCTATAGGGCATATGCGCTTGCTGGAGAGACAGACAGAAAGTGAGAAATCACCCCACAGTGGGGAATGGCCATGTGGCAACCCCTTCCCCTTTAGTCTCCTCTCAGGATCTTGGGCATGCACACATGCCCGGTGAGTTTCAAGCCACCAAGCCCAGGACTCCAATTGTGGTCAGTCATGTGGGAGTCCAGTGATATAACCATTATGCCATCTGCTGGTCCCCACTTTTATTATCTTTTCAAAGAGAGAGAGAAAAAAAGAAAAAAGGAGAAAAAGGGAGGAAGTATGAAAAGATAACCTGGTTTCTGTTTCTTGGGTACCAATTCATAAAACACCACGACCCATCATCTCTTAGGTGACCTTGTTGTGTTGTTCAAATACTAACCACACCTATTTATTTATTTATTTTAAATTATTTATTTAATTTTATTTATTCATTCATTTATTTACTATGACGAGAGAGAAGCAGAGAGAGAGAGAATGTGAGAAAGCAAGCCATCAGGTCCGAGACTCGAACCATGGTTGGCTATGTGGGAGTGTCCAGCGCCTTAACCACCACACCACTTGCTGGCCCCCATACCTATTGATTTTTATCCATTTTCTTTTTTTTTTTCTTGGAAGGGAGGGAGATTTTTCCTACAGGGTGCTTGCATTCGCTGGAGAGACACAGAGAAAGAAAACAAGAAATCACCCTCCAGGGAGGATGGCCACATAGCAATCCCTTCTCCTCCAGTGTCCTCTCGGGATTCTGGTCACCCACACACATGTGCCCAGCGTGGGTTTCAAGCCAACAGGTCCGGGACGCGAACCAAGGTAGACCACATGGGAGTCCAATGACATAAGCACTGTGCCAGCTGCTGGCCCCAACCACCTGCTTTCTAAGGTGTACAGTTTTCTGGTAACATTTTATAGACAACACCTCTCATCGATGGCATGTGTGTGCATTGGCTGTTTTGTTCTTTAAAATTTTAACAATGGGAGAGCCAAAAGGTGGCATGTTAGGGCTGGACTCCCACATGGGCTTTCTTTCTCTGGTGAGCACACGTGCCTTATAGCAAATCAAAAAATTATGATAAATAAAAATAAATGAAAATTTAAAAAAAATTGTAACAAGAGCCTCACATAGCATCGACCCAAGAAGATCTTCCTCAAGGCACATCATAGCCACGGCCGGCTGGGCTGGGTCCTGCTGTCTATACACAGTGCTGAACCATGGCTAGGGCCGACCACTTTTCCGACTTTGTTTCAAAGTTTAGTATCCTATCTCTATGGGACATTTAAGAGCAGAATCTAACAATCACAGGTCAGAGTTATTTCCATCTTATTTATCATCGCCACTATCATTATTTTTAATTTGCCACAGGGCAGGTGTGCTCACTGGGGGCAGGGAGAGAGCCAACCAGAGGAGGAGAGTGAGAAAGCCAGCCGCCAGGGGCATAACACGAACTTTATTTGGGCTATGTTGGGGAGTCTAGTTCCTTAACCACATGCCACTTGCTGGCCATGTGGTGTTTCTCAAGCCACTGGGTCTAGGACTACGCTACTGGTCATATGGGATCCAGCTCCATCAACCACTGGGCCATGGGGCTGGCCTAGACCTTACTTCATTCCCAGGATTTTATGTACCATCCCTCCTTCCTACTGATCAGTTTCGCCCATTATACGTTTAGTATCTTTTTTTTTTTTTTATTAATTTTTTAAAGAGGGATTTCAGCTATAGGGCATATGCGCTTGCTGGAGAGACAGACAGAAAGTGAGAAATCACCCCACAGTGGGGAATGGCCATGTGGCAACCCCTTCCCCTTTAGTCTCCTCTCAGGATCTTGGGCATGCACACATGCCCGGTGAGTTTCAAGCCACCAAGCCCAGGACTCCAATTGTGGTCAGTCATGTGGGAGTCCAGTGATATAACCATTATGCCATCTGCTGGTCCCCACTTTTATTATCTTTTCAAAGAGAGAGAGAAAAAAAGAAAAAAGGAGAAAAAGGGAGGAAGTATGAAAAGATAACCTGGTTTCTGTTTCTTGGGTACCAATTCATAAAACACCACGACCCATCATCTCTTAGGTGACCTTGTTGTGTTGTTCAAATACTAACCACACCTATTTATTTATTTATTTTAAATTATTTATTTAATTTTATTTATTCATTCATTTATTTACTATGACGAGAGAGAAGCAGAGAGAGAGAGAATGTGAGAAAGCAAGCCATCAGGTCCGAGACTCGAACCATGGTTGGCTATGTGGGAGTGTCCAGCGCCTTAACCACCACACCACTTGCTGGCCCCCATACCTATTGATTTTTATCCATTTTCTTTTTTTTTTTCTTGGAAGGGAGGGAGATTTTTCCTACAGGGTGCTTGCATTCGCTGGAGAGACACAGAGAAAGAAAACAAGAAATCACCCTCCAGGGAGGATGGCCACATAGCAATCCCTTCTCCTCCAGTGTCCTCTCGGGATTCTGGTCACCCACACACATGTGCCCAGCGTGGGTTTCAAGCCAACAGGTCCGGGACGCGAACCAAGGTAGACCACATGGGAGTCCAATGACATAAGCACTGTGCCAGCTGCTGGCCCCAACCACCTGCTTTCTAAGGTGTACAGTTTTCTGGTAACATTTTATAGACAACACCTCTCATCGATGGCATGTGTGTGCATTGGCTGTTTTGTTCTTTAAAATTTTAACAATGGGAGAGCCAAAAGGTGGCATGTTAGGGCTGGACTCCCACATGGGCTTTCTTTCTCTGGTGAGCACACGTGCCTTATAGCAAATCAAAAAATTATGATAAATAAAAATAAATGAAAATTTAAAAAAAATTGTAACAAGAGCCTCACATAGCATCGACCCAAGAAGATCTTCCTCAAGGCACATCATAGCCAGATTGACGAAAACCACAGAGACAAGATACTAAAACTGGCAAGAGAGAAACATCAAGTTTCTTTCAAAGGATATCCCATCAGGCTAACGTCAGACCTCTCATCAGAAATAATGCAAGCAAGGAAAGAATGGGAAAATATACTCAAAGGGTTATGTGAAAAACAACTCCAACCAAAAATACTATACCCACCAGCAAGATTATGTTTCATATGGGAGAAAAAGACAAAGACATTCTCAGATAAACAAAACCTGGAAGAATTTACCAGCACCAGACCAGTCCTCCAAAAAGCGCTGCAGGAGTGCTGTACCAGGAAGACTGGCGTCAGACACAGGAACAGAGTACGGAGACCACCAAGAGAATGGCCAGCCTGGGGGCCGGCAGGTGGCATGGTGGTTAAGGGTGCTGGACTCCCACATGGCTGACTGCGGTTCAAGTCCCGGACCTGGCGGCTTGCTTTCTCACTTTCCTTCTCTCTCTCTCTCTTTCTGTCCTTCTCTAGTCAAATTAAAATAAATAAATGAATAAATAAAGTTAAATAAAATAATTCTTAAAAAAAAAAAAAAAAGAATGGCCAGCCTGCGGGCAGGGACAAGTCCGGGGTTGAATGTTAACTTCCAGAATTTCAAATGGAAAGATCAGACCACAGTAACACTGCAAATTCAACAGAAGAGAGATTAATTACATGAGTCTGCTCTAGTGAGATAGAATTTCTTTTACTAAAACTGATTTTCTTTGATGCTTTGATTTCCGTATCGAAGGATTTTTGTCTTCTCTTAAACTGCTGATAGGTTCATCTACCTACTATTTGAACTGAATCCTAACCTTTTTCCTGGCTTTAAGTTTTAAGCAAATTTCTCTTAACATGTTTTGATTTCAATTTAGTAAAACTAAAACATCCTTTGAAATAAAAAAAATGCATTTAAAAACACCTGTCTACACCTACTTAATGACTACAGTGAGCTACATTGCCCCAGCAAGGTGCTACTTCACAGTAGTTCACTTTGCTCACTGAGGTGTACACCTGAAGTCAGACATGTGCTCTTAAATAAATATATGTCAGCTGTGCTTGATACTGAAGTCTTTAAATTAATTAAGATCTTCAGTGAACCAATAAAATGTGAAAAATTAAAAAATGGCATGGAAAACAACTGTATATACCAGGAAGTGTGAAAGAAGGGGGGGAGCTGGCAGAGGGTGAGAGACAGGGAATCAAGGGAGGTTATTTGTGGATGATAACGTGTATGGTAATACCCTTTAAAATTATAACAATATACAGTGTATACTGGATGGAAAGTCTCATGCTGTATTGATGTACAGCGAGTGACTGTAAATTAATTAATTAAAAAGAAATAGTAACAACAGGAAAGACCAAAGGCCTTTTGAAGATAAAGAGGTTTGTTTTTGGGGAGAGGTGCCATGAAATATACAAAAGTTCTACTAACATGCCCATTCTAGACCGGAGGGCTGGCGCAGCTGCAGAGACCAAGAGAGCCGGACTGCCACGGTGACTGCAGTGCAAGTGCAGCCAAAGGCGTCAATGCCCTCCAGGGAGGGCATGTACTTTCTCACAATTAAAAATAAAAATTAACGGGGCCAGCAGATGGCGTAATGGTTATGTTGCTGGACTTCCACCAAGTCAACCGTAGTTCGAGTCCTATATCCAGTGGCTTAAAACTCATGCCAGGTGCGTGTGTGTGCATGCCTAAGACCCCAAGAGGAGAACGAAGGAGAAGGGATTGCAGCCTGGCCATCCCCGTAGGGGGTGATTTCTCGCTTTCTGTTTCTCTGTCTCTCTCTCTCTCTGGCGAGCGCATGTGCCCTATAGCAAAACCTCTCAAAAAAAAAAATAAATAAATAAAAACCTTACAACTTTCATTAAAAGGCATTAAAAAAAATTTGCTCAAGGGCATATGCATTCACCGGAATGGTAGAAGGTAGTTAGAAAGTACCCCTCATGGGGGATGGCCACATTGTGATCCCTTCTCCTTTTGAGATTTTGGGCTGCTGGGTTCGGGACTTGAACAATGCAGTCAGACATGAGGATATGGCCACTTTAACCACCACACTACCCATCGGCCCTAACGTCTTTTAAATTCAAGTTGTTTTATTCTGTTTTAACAAGCCTAGGCAAAGTGCTATCCAAATTGATCACTGCAAAGTCCAAAATCATGGCTGGGAATATATGTACCATCAAGATCGCACAAAAATCATGACCAAAATACACCCCCCACCGCAGTCCTCAAGTATGACATCCCTGGCAGTTCAGGGTAACTTAGGAGCCGTAGCATATCTTCTACATCTACATTTAAATCAGGTCATGCTTAAAGAAACCACCTCTAGAAACTGGGATGAACAGCAACTTGAATGTTTTCTTTCTTTTTTTAAAAAGATTAATTTTATTTATTACTGTTATTATTTGCTATAGGGCACATGTGCTCACTAGAGAAAGGCAGGAGAAAGGGAGGGAGAGAAAGAGACGGAGAGGGTGAGAGAGAGGAGAGCGTGGGAGCAAGTGAGAAAGTAAGCTGCCAGGTCTGGGACTTGAACCACTGTCGGTCATACGGGAGTCCAGCGTCCCAGCTACCACGCGCCCTGCTAGTCCCTCATGTTCTCTTGTACTTCTGAATGCTGTACAGTGCCACGCAGCTCCTGTTACAGCAGAACGAGCACTCGCTCCCGCTCCCAGGAGGGTGTAAACACAGGGTGGCGCTGTGCTCGCTAGAGCAGAGCAGGGCTGTGGGGGGCCAGCAGCTGCCCTGGCTCAGGACGGCAGGGCTGGAGCACTCGTGGTATTCATCTATGATTTCACAAAGCTGTCACACGTTCTTTAGCCAAAATGTTTACACAACCTGTGAGCGGGAAACCTGCTGGTCCAATATGCATCATAAAACGTACCTGCTTCTCTTTCTGGAATCCTAAGTGTAA